GTAGTTTCGGTTTTGTCCGGTTCCGGTTGTTGACTTTTTGCGATTTTTTTCCGTCTCACTTGTGTTATACACCCCCGCAATGCCATACATCTACTATCTCCGATAGTTGAAAATAGTAGTTAGTTCCTGAAACTCCAAAGCAAAATTTGGGGAGAAACTAGAAACTTTTAGGTGTGAAAAGTAGGGTAGGTAGGGAGGGGGTCATAAGAGAAGAATTAGTGGGGGGGGGTCGTATTTCGCAGGAATTTACCACACCGCGATGGCGTGCCTTGGTTCGGTCAACTGCAAACTTCTGCGGAATTGTGGAAGTGAGTCACGTTGGTAACAGGATTTTGCAGGTCATCACAGGGTAGCCTGTACAAGTTTAGCAGAGTCCATTCCATACCACCACCAAGCCGAACTGCCCTTTTTTGGCAGCAGGATACAGCATTGCTGTGCGAGATCCATGGGGGGGTATTGGGGCTTGCGGGGCAAGGGAAGGGGAAGGGCAGCAATCCGGAAGGAATATTTGCCCCTGTAATTTTTCAGATCGTTCATTTCCCCTACTTCACGCTGCTATAGCTCCCTCTCCCTTGATGCTAAAACTTTGGTAAGAGCGTAATTTTCCTACGAGGGGAGTTATACCGTAGGACACCCTCTCATAAGCACCTCGAAGTCGAGTTCATTTTGAACAGATGTCCCATCGCTGACCCCATCCTTATACCAAAACGCCCTTACTCCTCTCCTCCCGCTGTTTCCCTGAACCATACAGCGAAAGCCGGCTAGAATCAGCTTTTTCGATCACACATGTTGCTTGACGCTACTGTCCGTCCAGAGAAGAAGAAACATGGCTGCAGCTGCATTACGTGACGGGTTTTTTGCTCGCATTGCTACGATGAATCAGAAGCGAATACTCATCATAACTTTGCATTAATGCAGTAATTTCGTAGAAATACTTAAAGGAAAAAGGCGCTTATTACTCTTTTCTTTTCCACTCCTGGAATTTCTTTAGCTATAGATTTAGACAAAAACTTGTCCCAGAAGGATCCTGGCCCTTTAACATGACTATAACGACCGCTTGAAATAGAAACGCCACGCGCCTGCACCACATCCTCGGAGTACCAGACCAGTCCAGGCGGCGAGGATGGAAAAAGAAGTTCATGGTTCATCGGGCATGGCTCGTGCAGTTGTAAATTTTGAATTAAGTGGTAAGGTTAGGTTGGAATTTTGGGCGATACCTGACTTAGCGATTAATAAGTCTGGTTATTTTTGTCGGAACATTTTTAGCTTTTCTCATCAACTATCTCTAAAAGAATTTGAGGTTTTTAACATATCACCTGCCTTACCTTAACTATCGTCGTGGATCTTGCTGTGCAAATACTGCGAAAAACTGCGTTAACTGCCTCTTTGTTCGCAAACGAACCACCAGTGAATAAAATACTCGCATCCTTCGCTAAAAAAAAAACAAAAAATGTACCAAAAATGATCAGTCAAGGTCCTAGTTCATGTTTCAATTCTGGGCGGAGTCAGACCTGTCATTAAGACTCCATCCATTGACCGCTCGACCTCTTTTGCTTTACCTTGAGCTTTCACGGGACCGCACCTGATACCAGAAGACTTGGATATGGAGGTTGACGCCATGGAGGAAGGCGCAGTGTCCTGATCTCTCCCCGCCCACAACGATCAGCGTGTACTGAGGAAAGTGCTCACCAATATTGTAGATGTGTCCTGTTGAATAGTCGACTACTCCACTCATGGTCCTTTCAATGTCTTCGAAGAGGTCTACTCGTTGAACATCGAGCCAAATCTCTGCGTACACCACCGATAGTCGAACATTCATATCTCTCGAGAACATCTGAAGCAATGAATGTTAGGCTCGACACTTCTTAACTGGCTCCTTTTACCTCCTTACATAACTAAAAATTGATATCTTTTACTACCTCTTTCTCCCCACCCGCTTACCACTCCCCTGAACGCGTATGATCTTGCCGATTTCCTGAGGCTGGCGTCATTTCCCACATTCCGCACGCATCGTCAAGGACTATACCAATGCCCCTCAACGATGGACTCGTCCCGGTGTTCAAGTGTGAAGCTCTCGTTGAATGGACGAGTGGCCGCCGCTAATGGAATTGTCGGCTCCTTTGGCGCTCACGTTTTAACGGCTGATGCCAGGGAATTGCGCCCAATGGGGCTGCTTTACAACGGCGTGAGCTGCTTCACACGCTTCTCAGCAATATGCGAGACAAGTGCCTCCACTCTTCTTTCAATGAATAGACTACTACTTACTAAATCGGCGATGTTGACAGCTTCAAGCATGTAGGTTAAAGAGTCCTCGTCAGAATAGCCATGCTGCTTCACCTAGAAAATTACTTCGTACTTTGAGTACGCACTTCGGAAAAAACGATCCACTATACGGAATTTTGGCTGGAGTTTGAATAAATCCAAATATAGAACAAAACTGGGAGCAGTTCGGCTTGGTAGGGGCACCGAATGGTACTCGGCTAAGCTTATGCAAGCCATTTTGTGATGACCTGTAAATTCCTCTGACCCAAAACAGCTCACACAAACAATGTCGCAGCTTTACAAGTATACAGGTTTGACTAGAGCGACACTGTTAGTTAACATGAATTAACAATAGGAACTAGGGAAAGTGCAAGCTCGAAGTGCCCCCTCCAAGCCGAACAGCGCTCAAAATCGGTGGAAAGAACTACGGTAAGAGAATGAAACCAACATATTCATAGTCCCCAATGAGCGCCAATTCGACGTATTTCGTCTGCTTCGACAGGTCGCGAGAATGTCGTCGCCGATGTTCCTGCGACATCTGAAATGATAGGAATGCAGCATACAAGTACGTATCTAGTTACTGTTGAATTAAAAAGTGAAGGGTGAAAGTTTCAGCATTCAAAGGTCCCTTTTTGGAGTACGCCACGCGTTGTTCCTTTATTCACAAGACGAGAGTTGTCATTTCAAATGCGACCCGATCTTATACCTGTAGGGTGGAAAGTTTGCTTATCTTGGACGGGTGCCGATCCGGGATATAGCCCCTGGCTGTGCGCGTAGTAAGTCACGTCACTTGCCACCACACCACCTTCGCCCAAGTCTTGGTTTGAGGCACTCCTCAGTGTGCTTCTAGAGCCCCAAAGGGTCTCAGAGTCTACTGAGCGTTATTTAGCGAGAAATGGTACGCTTACGGACGCGGTCTCGGTCGAACCCGGGCTCCGTCCAGGCCAATGAAACCCTCCACCTCGTGAATTGGTACCGTATTCGCCTAGGACAAGAACACTGACTTGTACATCAGTTGGCGCCCGCAAGTCACTGCATGGATGACATCACATTCTATAAGCCGCTACGATTCTATATGATGATAGCCGCTACGATTCTAAGTGGAAGCAGACTTCGTGCCGCATCCCAAAAGGCAATTAATCAACGATGAAGACTTCATCCTTCAGTCGTTGCAAACGATACAGGATAAGTGGGAAACCAAACATTATTTTCTGTAATTAATTGGGCCAACAGATGAAGCTCCAGCTTATATTGCCTTTTGGTTTTTCCTCTCTTAATATTCTGCATATTAATGCGCCATTGAGAGCACATATTCAATTCAAAAGAAAACCCGCATTACTGAGAAAGATACAGTACTCCGAAGTAATGAGAATAACCACATTTTAGACATATCACCTCCAGGGCACGATCTGCGGTTCGGGACAGTTTTGCACGATATGACCCCTTGCTGGCGATCCCAACGTATGACTTGCCCTGATGAACTTTTATCCTTAACTGAAATGAATAAGACAGGAACCCTTCATTTGTCCATTAATCAGCAGCCTTCTCAGTAGTATGCCGTATCTAGGTGAACCTTCAGAACAAATCCGGCTGCTATTTAAGCAAGTTGGAGGACTTGTGGTGAAATGGAAAAGTGCGAATTACAGTAACCGCCAACTTTCACAAGCTCTTCAGAACTATATTGTAAACTTCGCTCCCACACATTTTCATCTGAATTTTTGGGTCCGACTGCACTCGATGTTGGGAGATGCGAAGAAACAATTGTGTTTGCCCAAGTACGGCGAGGGGTTTCCTGGTGAGCAGGGCACTTCCCGTCGCTGTTTCAAATTTTGGAAAAAAAAACCGCTCCCCACTTCCCATTCTCTGGTAGGGAACTCCCTTCCTCCACCGACCAAATGCGACCCCGCTGGGGATTTCCCAACGTACCACGTGCCCTGTTGATGGGTCAGTCATTCCCACTGTACCTCACACCTGAAATAATGCCAATAATAATCGGAGCACAGTGGTTTCCCCTGCTAGCTATCAACCCCCCTCGCATCGACTTGCCGTTTTTCGGGGAAAATGGAGAATTTTGGGAAAAATAAAGATTTGCAGGAAATTGGCAAGAAGTTGGGGAAATTGGGAGCCACAGTAGATAGTGTGAGGATTAGGGAAGGGGTGGGGTGGCTGTGCCACAGGACGTGGAATTTTGATGGGCGTGGGGATTCTATATTGTGAAATTTCCCCTAACGGCAGGAAGTGTGCTATTTTCGATATTGCCCTAATGTACTTTATAGATGACTCACAGGGACACCCACGGCTCGCTCCACCTTGGAATCGAAAGTGGTCTTCTGAGAAGAGAAGAAAAACAAGAAACTTTCGCCAATGAACTCTTTGCCCCCTGCCCTCAACCCTGCTCTCTGCCGCAATATCTACGAGCAGATTACTATTATGATAAAACTGGCCGTACTCCCTGTGACAACGAATTGTCATGCAAATTCAGTGCCGTATCCGCTCAGTAAGTGCACATGCATGCATCAAATAGGATAAGTCTTTGACTGACGATGAATACCCGCCAGCGTGACAAATGCGATCCATCCGTAGAGGCCAGATGAGAACAGATTGGGGAATGGGTGCGTGGTGGGCGTCGCTAGATAACTGCAGTAAACATCCGCTATCTCCCTCGGAGCACGACTGTTCACAGCTACAGATGGTCCTTTGATTTCAGCGCCAGATACAAATAAAACCTCCACTGCTGATCACACAGTGCCCCTCCCATCCTTCAAAGTGGGCAACGCCACAAATGGCTTTCTGCAGATAATCTTAACAAAACTGCAAATAGCTTTCGGAAACATTCCACTCACCCTCCGACGGATGGTGTGCTCTATTGGCGCCATTGATGTCCCGCATTTCGCCTCTTGGGTCCAATGAGTTTTATAAAGGATATGAGGATGCCTTCGTCCACGATCGCCCACATCCAACGGCCAAACTCCGTAAGTGGAACCATTTGAAAAGGCTATAATACCTCTGAAAAAATCTTTAATGAGTAACACAAGAAAAGTCGAAAATTTTTTCCTATCTCGCATCTCGTAACCTACTACGCGAATACTCTTCTTGTTTTGAAAGGGGAGGGGTTACTTTATGAAGATGTGAGAAATCGGACTGTAAACATAACCTCCACCCCTTCAACACGAGGGTCACTTTTAAAACCCTTCTGATCGATCAAATAGCCCTTCGTCGTAACAGCGATCGATCTCCGTCTGATATATTGCGATTGAAGAGTCGTTAGGCGACAATTTGTCAGCGGAAGGAATCGCCTGTGATCTAACCGCTCCAGTCACGGATGTTCAACCATGGCAACCAAGCCACAAAACAACAACACGCTCAGTTGGTCTCGTGCGAGAATTTTTGCTGAATATGGCTCCCCTCCCCCCCCTAACTTTTCTCCCTCGGTTCAACCCCTTTTTATAACATACCACTTTATAAAATCACGCTGAACCTTCACAAAATACCTTGCCTAACCTCCACAAAATTTTTGTCGAGAGGGAGTGTACGTAACTCGCACGAAACGAGAACATTCAACTTACTCAAAAGAACTTTCAGTACCAATCACGACCTCCCCCCCACCTAGTCGCTAAACCGCTAAATATGACCCCTTCCGCTGCGACTTTCACAGCGATGATGTGCCCTGCACGATACCTTCTGCATCAGAAACATCCTCATTAATAAAAAATATGTTATTGCGAGATGATGATTTGAAAGCCACAAATAACACCAGGAAACACATCATTTAGATCATATCTGAGAGATTTCTGCTAATTACAATTCTGTTTTCGAGCAAGATTTATTGCAAAGCGTATGCATGGCGCCATTCCAGTAAGGTAAGGATGGAAATGGTGCAATAGTTCGTGAGGATTAAGGCAAGCCCGGTTTTGTCCAATTCTTCAGGCTCATGGCTTTTGCCAAACAGAAGTTCGCTAGCTTCGAGGGTCCAGGACCATTTTTTCATCGCATGTTCTAGCCGAGCATTTGAAGGGAGGAGAATAAGGAAGAGGAAAGCGAGGACGAAAGGACGAAACGAAGGAAAGAGGGAGAAAATGGAGAAGGAAGGCATGACCTTTGATAGATATGCTGAGACCGTTCTTCAAAGCCCGAAAAAGTTACGAACTTCGTCCTTTGCGGAATTTCTATGAATTTAAAATTTTAAGTGCCGCAAAGTGTAAAGAAACAATCGGGAACCGGGAAGTATCAGGGTTTTGCACAACCTCAGGCAGTCGATCAGGGACTGCAAGGAGGAAGAATCTCAACTTAGCTTTCATGAATGTCCTGATTTCGATTTTTCAAAATTTTTGACTTGGGTTTTCTGCACCAAAATGCCAATGTTGGGACAGCGTCAGGGAAAAACGGCAGTACCTCAGACCATTGCAGGACGATAGTGCGACGAACGACGACGAATCCCCAGCCACTGTACCCTGATAATAACAGTTCTCGATACGTTGTTGAAATCCATGCTCTCCACTTGAATCAAGCTGAAATTAATTCTAACAAAAATAGAGGCCTTCTAACTGCTAATCACAGAGTTCACAGCTCAAAGAGCTCATGTCATGGAAAAGACACAAGGAGATATTAATGAAGCCTTCTTCTTCGGCTGTTCGCAACGCGCTATTCAAAACAATCCTTTGTTCAACTGGTACACACCTCGGTCCTTATACAAGGCGATGGCCGCTTAAGCCCTCCTTCATCTACATAGTCGTGATCCCCCACAAGATGATGTGGCAAAATTTGTCGCTCTGAGACATAAGTCTGCTTTCTTTCAAAAGTGAACGTAGTGTTGGTGGGGGGGGGGGGGGGGGGCAGTTTGCCGACGGGGGCATTTTGCACTTCCGTTGCTTCACTAGTTCTGGTTTACAAGTCTCACTCTGTGAAACCTGTGAACTCTTGTGAAGCTGGAGCAAGCTCGTCAAGCCATCATGGTAAAACCTGTCAACTCGGAAGAATCTCGTCAGATGGGACGACATTCCGATGGGAAGTCGTAAAAGTGCGAAATGCCCCCCCGTCGCCAAACAGCGCCGAAGGAACGGCACCCAAGAAAGACATCGCAGGAGTACCCATGAGCAGCAAGGCAAAAAAGCAAGTATCGCAGCCTCGCTGGCGTAGAACATCCGACAAGGCGCTAACAAGCTACACACACTAGATGCCTCGCGGGGGGCCACCGGCAGCCGGACTTATGCCACGTCTCATACTTGCCGTCGACGTTCTCTTCAAAAGTTCAAAAGCGTCGGTGTGATAGGCGCCACTCTTTTCTATTCACGGCGGCGGGGGGGGGGCATGACAACATAGTTATACCATTTTCACTTTAAATCGGACACTTTTCAAACCAAATCGGACACTTTTCAAATCAAATCGGACACTTTTCAAACCAAATCGGACACTTTTCAAATCAAATCGGACACTTTTCAAACCAAATCGGACACTTTTCAAGATCGAAAGGTCGGGCACGTTTCTCCAAGCAATCGACACTTTTCAAATCAAATCGGACACTTTGTCGAAGCATGCAAAGATGCCGGACACTTTTCAAACCAAATCGACACTTTTCAAATCAAATCGGACACTTTTCAAATCAAATCGGACACTTTTCAAATCAAATCGGACACTTTTCAAACCAAATCGGACACTTTTCAAATCAAATCGGACACTTTTCAAATCAACGATCGCGTGAGCTACTGTTTCAAATCAAATCGCGACACTTGGGTTGCAAGACCAAAAATCGGACACTTTTCAAACCAAATCGGACACTTTTCAAACCAAATCGGACACTTTTCAAACCAAATCGGACACTTTTCAAACCAAATCGGACACACCCCTTACAATTAGGTGGTTGATAACTAGACCACACTAGGTACTGTTGCAAGCCCCGCCCCATTATCCCCGCCCATTTCTCATGACGCGGGAGCAGGGTGTCGAATGGCTTCATGAAACTTGCTGCCTCGAACTTTTTTTCGTTTTTGGTTTGCACACACTTCAATTGAAACAAAACTGATACCTAACAGATCCTGAACTCCGCGCCAATTGACAATGATAGTTACTGAAGTGAGCGATTTTTATAACTTTTTTCGACGTAGTTCTTTTCACATCCAATCTTCACAAAACGAATAACCATGCACAGCACACCAGGCCCCGCCCCTCTGACCCCGCCCACTTGTGTTTATCGCGGAATTTGGGTTTTTCTTCTTGGCCGGATTTTCGCTTTTTAGGCTTCTTATCGATTGCTCCGCCACCAATGTGAATGTCCGCCCGTTTTGAGGAAGCCCGCACTTTACGAAAATTTGATGCCAAAATCGGCGGGCTAGTTCCGTACGTTGTGCCGATCACGGCCTCTCCGGCCACATAGGAATAAAAAAAAAAAGGGAAAATCGCCGGAAAAACGGGAAAGTTAGTGGTTGAGCGACGGGCATAGGCCGTGATCGGCCAGTACGTGACAACTAGCCCGCTCGACGTTCTGCATCATTTTTCGGAAAAAGTGCCCGGGCGGGGCTTCCTCCAAATGTGGCGGAGCTTCCGATTGGTGGGCGAGCAATCGATAAAGAAAAAAAGCGAAAATCCGGCGAAGAGAAACCCAAAAGTTTCGCCGCCGACTAAACACAGGTAGGTGGGGGGTCAGAGGGGCGGGGCCTGGTGTGCTGTGCATGGTTATTCGTTTTGTGAAGATTGGATGTGAAAAGAACTACGTCGAAAAAAGTTATAAAAATTCAGAACTTACGTACTTCATTGTTAAGTGGCGGAGTCAGATCTGCCATACGTTATCAGGTTGTTTTCAGGTTGAAGTGTGTGTGCAAAGGGCAAAAACGAAAAAAAGTCGAAGGAGCAGATTTCATGAAGCATCTCGGAAAACCCTGTCCGCGCTGAGAAGTGGGCGGGGATAATGGGGCGGGGCTTGCAACAGTACCTAGTGTGGTCTAGTTATCAACCACCTAATCTGTATAAGGGGTCGGGTAGGGGTAAGGCGCGGCACAGCCGTGTGTCCGACATATTCAAACAGTGTGCCCGATCGTGGGTATTGAAAAGTGTTCCGATATTGGTTTTGAATAAAGTGGTCCGATTTTGAATTGAAAAGTGTCCGATTTGATTTGAAAAGTGTCCGATTTGGTTTGAAAAGTGTCCGATTTGATTTGAAAAGTGTCCGATTTGGTTTGAAAAGTGTCCGATTTGATTTGAAAAGTGTCCGATTTGGTTTGAAAAGTGTCCGATTTTTAACACAGTTGATAGGTATATAACGTGCATATTAGTCTTAATGCCGATCGGCCTGTACTGAAGAGCTTAGTCGAGAACGGAAGAAACGTCAGAAAACTTGCTGGAAATAGTTGCGTCAAATTTGAGGTGAGGAGTTTCCAGCGCTGTTTAGTTTGAGGGAGGGGCATTTTGTACTTTCGCTAGTTCCTGTGGCTAGTTTTGTGCTGTATTACATGTACTGCCCATCAACATTCCAGGAACTTTAGAAGTTGATCGCACAGGTCAGAGTCAACGGCAGTCTCCTCGCAGGAGCCTCAGCACAATTGTCGCCCACCAGCAAACGTGAACAAGATTTGTCCTCACAGGTAGATTCTATGATACTCTCCATGGCCAGGTGGGTGGGGGTCTTGGGGGGCAAAACAAAGGATGGAGACTCATAATCATCGCGAGACCTTCTTCGGTGCGCCTCACTCGAATATGATGAAGAATAGGGTGACGCTAATAGGAGAGGTACAATGATTGCGACTCCGCCCACTCGATCTTTGTAAACTGTGTCTTTAAGTCAGAGATGGCTTCCTCGAATTTCAATTATATTTTAACCCCAAAACAGTATAAAAAATCCTAGCGCGAGAAAATGAAGAAATAGAAACAAAGAAATTTGATCTCATACAAAAATAGGATTATTTCTGATTATCACTAACCTTTCGAAAACTGGTCCGATTCAGAAATATAAAATTATTCCGTTCCAATACTAATTTTATCCTACCAACAGCATTACTTCTTATCACAATCGTCACATGTTGATAATGTTCGGCAGCTTTTAAAAAGTAATTTCGCGTATCTGGAATTATAGGGAATCAAATGCGAAATAGTAGAAGAGCATGAACAAAGAGAATAACAGGCAAAAAAAGCAGTGAAAATAATAAAAAATAGCAAGAATGAGGATAAAAATCCGTACCAATCCCTATTCGTTCATTTTTATCGCGAATTTGAAATGGATGAACCACTTCGTAATCGCCATCAGGAATGCTGGCAATAAATGCTTTGTTCGTTGACGACTGACGGAAATCCACTGAAAATACCTCGTTTCAGTAATGACAACGGCTAGGAGCAGAGAGCCAGAGCTCCTCTTGCTTTCTAAGGAAAAACAATCCAGGGATCAATACAAAAATCAGTAAAATTCAAAAATAGAAATGAACCAAATTATTAATTTAAAGAACATATTGAATATTATTCATCAACAGGGAGATCCATCAAAATTTGCTAAAACTAAATTCAACTGATCTAAATTACTGTTCAAAGTGATCAGCTAAAAATATAAACAAATTTATAAAAAAATAAATTTGTACTCTATCACAAGAAACATCCCTTCTTTCGAGGAAAGCTTTGTGTTTCGATTTTAGTGCGCGCCGCCTAGTTCGTTTTCCAGCAACTGTTTGCTCGCTTGCCTTCTCATTGTCGATATGGAAGCATTGGCTGCGCGTACCGATTACTCAAGCCACCCCCCCCCCTGCCGCTATTTCTTCAGCCGAAATTCCTCTGCGCTAGACTCTTGCTGAGCAGTACTACCAGCATGGGCCTATCGAAATCCATCAGATAAGCAACATGACTCATATGTGATTAAGAAATCGCCTAAGCCTCCGCTACTAGGGGGGGGGGGGTGACTTGAGAGTGACAGACTAATCTGGGGATCAATAGGAATGGAAGGCAATCCGACTTCAACCTAAGTAAAAACATAGGGCAAAAGAGAATCTTAGTACAAAGCAGGAATTCCCCAGAAAAACTGATGAAATGCAACGACTACTCGATTCGAGGCACAGTTTTCTACCTATTCTTTTCCTCTCACTATGAAGTCTTTTTCCTAGGGCAATTACCCTCATTTCTGGAATGACCTGATGAATGGGAAATGGGACTTTTTCTGAAGTTCTGCAGTGCGAAGGACGAGGTAATGGCGATCGAAATTGTTGCTATAAAACCACAAATTTTATATGAGGTGTACGCAACCCGGTCGCTTTTGCTGGATGTGATTTATCGGGGTAAAGGAACGGACAGCATCCTTCCGCTACAGGTCCCAGTGTCGATCCAAAAAGAGATTAACCTAGTTAAGAACACATGTCGGATATCGAGAAGTGGCTCTAAATGTGTCACAACCCATCGAAGACAGTGCATATCATCGCCGTTAACCCTTAACGAGGGTCACGAAGGAGGAAACCGCATCCGGTTCTGAGAGAGAGGTCTGCGAACTGCAGATCTTCGTTCGATAGCTGATTGACGTGGTCCTTTGCCCCGTCCTCCTTCTGGCGGCAACTCTTCTAAGGGGATGTACAAGAGTTTTAGGATCCTTGTTGTGCCCCCCCCCTCCACTTTTACTTCATGAAATTTGAAGAAAGAGCGATGTAGTCTGCCAATCCTGATCTGATTTAGAAGGCAGAAGGTCGTTGCATTGCCAATTGAAGAGGGTGGGGGGGACGAGGCGGATTAAGTCACGTCCTAGAGTAATCCTTTTGGCAGTATGCTCTTCACTGATCACTCAAGATCTACTCACTTGAATCTTTTGTATCTTCAAATGGGAGTCAGATACATGGCGTATCTCGAGGGACTTACCAGTGCTAGGCCATTCTACCTTCCCAATCAGACCCGGCAGACATTCAACGTCTATTTGGCTCTCTCTTCAGTTTCCATGTTGCAGTAGCGGAGGGCTTACTTTAGTTTCCAGTATAGCAAGATCCCAGAATTCCTATACTCCTACCTCCCCTTGAAAAACTGCCACTGAGAACTTCACTTCGAATTAGGCATCCCTTACAGAGTTCCCGTTCCCAGACAACATGCAGGTTTCCATTTACGGAGAACTCATTATAATATATTATGAGTTATGACCTTTTTACGTTGAACTAGAAACGCTGGCACTTTACAGCCATAAGCACTTAATTGCCTTCTGCAAGCAGCTGGCATCGAAGGGGAAAAAAAGGCGACCTGTTACCATCACATTTCAAGGGCTATCACGATGGGGAACCACTGGTTCCAAGCCTCTGGAATGGAAAGAAACAACAATTATGCCACTCCATGAAAACGTTACTTTTTGATCTTGAGAATGCCACCTTCTGCCTTATAAGACACCCCCGGAATAACCAAGCTCAAGTGGAAGTGTTACACCAATGGCACATCCTGGTGATGAAATAAAAGTGTCGCTAAGCCTATCATTCCTCTCTTGTCGCCAGTGGTAGACCCCTTCCCCCAACCTGTTCGCTCCCACTTGACCCTATCATTTCTGCTTTGTTGCCTGTCGTCACCCCCACCCCCTCGGCCTCCACACCCTTCATCACCTACTCCAACCTTTCCCTACCTACGATCTCCCAGAAGAAGTGGCCGATTGGGGAAATGAGTTTCCGGGAACCACACATGACAACCCCATCCCCACCAAAGCGAAGCGATCCAACCCCGAGCCCCTCTCGTTGAGAGATCCACACGACGATCATAGGCGCTGGTAGCATCCAGGACGTGCGAAGGAAGCGCAAAAAAGTGCTGAAAAAGAGAGAAGTGGCGGCTGGCGGAGGAAAAACTGGTTAGTTCATCAAGAAAAAAACGTAGAATAGACGTTAACGAAGACTCTGAGAGAAAGTTTCACTGGGACGAGTTGCTGGCGGGTTGGAAGGCTTTGGGCTAAAAAAAATCAGCAAGCGTCTAGTTCTGCAGATAGCTTGAACCTCCTTCGAAAACCATCTTCTCCACGATTCTGCCATCTCAGCGCGAAGCCAAGGAGACTACCTTTTAGAAACAGGGACATTTCATGGCTACCACCGCTCGCTCAATCGACCAATTCTTCCAAGTTAGTTAAGAATTTTTCAAAATTTCACGTTTTCCGCGGTTATTACCAATTTCTACATGTTCAATTGCCAAACAGCCAATTCAGCACAAACGGATAGAAAATCACTCGAAAACCCGCCTTCACAGCAGGACATTCATTCAGCTTCATGGTTTATCCGCTTCGGTTGATGAGAACGAGAGGGTCATATTTCTGCTCATTAGCAATCGTCCTGGGATTTTATGGGATACGACGATTCCGCACTTGCCCTCATTTTCCAGCACTTAATATTATGACTCAATCGGGCAGAGCATACCGTACGTAGGGGATCCCGGCGAGGAGTCGTATTTGGTCGCTGAACTGAGAGGGGAGGGGGCTAGTTGCCTTTGAAAGTTTCTTTTGTTAACTTTTTCCGATTTCCTGTTCCAAGCGCCATACTCTCCTCACCCCCTTCCCGTTCAAAAGCAGTCTTTTTAGGGAAAAGTTAGGGAATTTTTGAGAGAAAAAATCTACTGGGAAGTGGTAGGCGTGAGAACTAAGTAAGATGGTATTTATTTGATAAAGGAGTCCCACCAGAGTAGGAAAGTTGTTGGAAAGTGGTCCTAATTTGTAAAGTTGTTTCACGAAGGCAGTTGAGTCCAACTACTGAATTTCATATAACGTTGGCTTCTAAGGTCCTCAGTCCGGGGTAATATCTTCCCTTCGGCTCACAAGTTGGACTATTTGATGCAATGCATGCTTCTTTTAAAACTAGGTTTCATGGGGCTACAATTTGGGCATAGAAAGCTGCTGCAGAAGAGATGGCTTTTTTGTCTAGAGCCTGACAAGAAGCAAAATGGCAACCTTCACCGCTGTTTTAAACATTTTCAAGGCTGCGCATGCCATCGTTACGGAAATTAGTAGCCACCATGCCACCATTATCACATGGGCAACTTTTTGAAACAACTATACTCCTCGCAACCCGCCAGTTCTACCCATAAATTGCCAGTTTTGCCTGGAAACTACCAATTTTAGCGGCAGTGCTAGACTACCATACACGGCCAGAAGCATTACAGTCAGAGCGACCTGGATAAAGCACAGGTTCAGAGGCGTATTCCGTGAATATTTCAACATCAGCTGTAGTGAAAGGGATCTTATTCGGGATGTTTACAACTGCTCGCTCTGCTTTTTTGTTTCTAAGGAGCCAGTGAGCGTCTACAATATTAAATTGAACCCATGTACTGCAATCGCGGAATGAACCCTCAAAGCTCTATGGCAAAAGAAGCCTACTGGAGT